AATTTCACCATTTTAGTCCATGTGAAAAATGTAGTAGTATCTGCTTGACGGACTCCAATCTGCGTGACCATCTGAAAAAACACTTTGATGAGAAGCTTTCATATCGCTGCTTAATATGCACTCCTAATCAAGTTTACTACTCCGTATGTAGCCACTTTATATTAATCGTTGTCCTGTTGATTCTTGCGTTTTAGGAGGCCGCACTGTACTACCATTTAAACCGGAAGCATGATGTTCCTATAATTGCATTTTGCAAGAATTGTCTACTTGCCTCTGTCAATATGGACCGCATATTCGCGCACACAATCACACGCGAATGTTCTGGTGGTATTAGAGAAAGTCCACGAGTATCATTAGTGAGTTTTTAACAATTTTTGCTAGTTCTGTAATAGCAAGTTTTGTCCTTTTAGCCAACGTTGCTACGCTCACTCGGATTCGCCATCGCTTCTGAGCTATACTATCAGCCAAGTGATGAAGCCCAATACAAGAAAGCAGTTGCAAGCAAGGTCTTTGATTTTATATCTTATTGTCCTTCTTTTTGAGGAAAATGTAGAAAATGTCTTGCAGACGTAAATCTCTCTCATGATCACTAAACAATTTTGTTTTGGATTCGTATAGGAATCATCTTATCATAACACCTGGGGTTCAGCGAAAGCAGTAATTTGGAATGTGTTGCTTAGTTCATGGTTTCGCATCCACTGTACAATACATGTGAAAGTAGACTTAGTTCATGTCTTTGAATATAGACTATTTAGGCGACTCGCTTTGCAGTACCAACTCTTTGTAGTCATCGCACATTCATAACATTTGGAGACGCCTTCACAACTTGTCCCGAGGATCCTTCAAGATGTCATGGCCTAGTTCGTTGTTTATAATCGAGTGAAACGAGTTACTTGGTCACAGTGAAATCTACAGGTGAATCAAAACCGCTGGCATTCGTATCTTTGTTCTACAAATCGCGAAAACCCTGGAGAAATGCCTTCAAAGATGCCAGAAGCGCTCATAATGAGGAAAGTAGGTGGAGAAAACCTGGTGGATATGCTGCTCTCACGTTATAGGATTAACGAGCAGAAGCGCAAAACTACTCACCCATTCACTGGTTAGTAATCCTCTAGCTTGTACGTTTTCACTGAGAGGTTGTAAGCATATGTATTCAGACTCATCTTCTCAATCTTCTGCTAACGCATCAGTACTCGTTCCTGCAAGTAATCCACTGTCATCTGAACCACTGCGGCAAAAGAACATTATGTCCACTTGCCATATTGCTCGTCGACAAAGTGGAGCTTTGAATTCGATGTTGAATTCTCAGCAGGTTGGCTAAAATGACAGGTTTATCGCATTGCCAATGAGAATTCAGTTGCAGATACAAGCAACTCGAAGTGGAGGGGAAATGTCGACACTTCGTCAAACTTTAAATAACACACCTATGCCTTTACCGCAGAACCAAGTGAGCCGTTCTTTTGCCAACAAAGTCATTACATTAACTTCTTGGTCTGCGTAAGCGAGAATTCGAGGTTTTCTCATAATATTTAGTGGTAAGCTACCGGTTGTGTCTTAAATCTTCTGAGCTGTTTTTATGACAAGGCAGCTATGGTACAAATCTGGTTTACAGCTAACTTTGATCGGGATCGCTAATGTCAGGGCGAAACTTTTCTGCCTCTGCTTTAGCTGCTATTGATTACTTTGTTTTTATCAAATGTTTTTAGAAAATTGTAAGTTTTTGGACAAAATATGATTACATGTCTATTATTTCTCACCATACCTACGCTGATAAGAAGGCGTAGCATCCTGCATTAGAAGCACATGCGTGTGGTCGAGTATCCTCCACATTCCATACGGCAAGGTAATCTAACAAGTGGTTCTTCTGAGTATGCTAGCAGAAAGCAGATAAATTAATCACTCCCTAGAAATAATAGCTTCCTCCTCCTCAATTTCCTTCGAGGACTACTTCGACCGTAGGCGTAGTACGTAATACTTATCATGGCCTGATATTAATCTTAGACTGAACAACAATGCTTGGCAAAGAGCATATATAGCGTCACGACGACTGTTACTCCAGTCCATTTGCATTTCATGTTACCCTTTTTCAGTATGGTGGTTTAGCTCAACTTTGCGCGTATAAATTGCTTCCAACCTCTACGTTAGCATAAAAATGGCAAACAAGGGCTAAAGAAGTTTTATTTTCACATTACAAGTTTGCAAATTATGAATTAATTTGCTAGGCTGAACAATCTTGAGATTGCACTTCAAAGAAAATTAAGTTTCAAACGGTTAAGTATTTTATTCTATACGTCATAAAAAACTGTTTCCAATAGTAGATAAGAAATGACTGCGAGTAACTTCCGTGTTGTTCATTCTATCCATCCGCGTAGTGGGAAACCCTCGATTGTCCCACTTATTCAGAGCGCTTGTATGGTTTGTCGGACTCGCAATGTAGCAATGGTATTCGAACCCCCGAGTAGAGCGTATGAGGCTGTAAATTCGCTTTGCACAAAATTCAGAGAAGTGCATCCCATGGCAGCTCAAACACTGTATTCATCTCTCTACTCGTTCATAAGAGGTTAGTTCATTTTAAGTTATGCACATTATCTGGAATGGGAAGGTTAATACACGATGTTAAGAAACAGTCAATCGCCGTCATGGGCAAGCGTTGTTTTGCTTCTGCCGTTGGCATTACACACAACAGTGTTTCGACGCTAATGGTACACACTTGACAAATTCGCCACCCAGTCAAGTGAACAGCGCACTTCTTCTGAGTAATTACAATAAGGGTTTGTTCTATCCTGATCCTGCCTGCGTAGCTGTCTTATCCACGGTTCCCATTTCTCCTAGAAGAACGACCATATCTTCTAGTGCAGACACCATATCCGTACGTTTTTTTGCCTGGTTTCTACATTTTCTCAGTTCTGTTTACTTATCTTTTCACTCTTATTCACAGTCATGTGTTGTATGCGATATCGTGCCGCCAAAGGGGCCATGCTTCGCCACTACTTTTCCAGTGGACTATATGATTTCCGTGCCGCTCGTGCCCATAACTGCAAAAGAGCAATGGTCCAATTACATCTGTCGCTCTTTGCCTGAATCAGTGGCGCAACGATTGCTTAACGCGGTTAGCTCTTTGCAAACATTCTTTATCTTATTGACAATGATTGACGAATGGTGTACCTGTATTTGAGCTTTTCTTGACTTATATAACATGTTTAATGCTCGAGAAGTTTTACTTTAAAGTTTTTCCTTTATTTAAGAAACAATTGCGCAATCTACCATGCTTTACCATTCAAAAGTCCTCGTAATACCTTTTTACAGTTTCGGATAACCCATTTACCTCGTCTGTGCATTCGACACTTCCATCCGTGTTCATTGTCGATTGGTCGTTCCGGTGCTATCATAAAGAATCCTGCTTCCATTGGGGAATTACCTCTTCTGGACTTTTTGGAATTTGCCACATTGAATGCAGAATTTTCCCAGGCCTTTAACAAACTCATTGATGTACGTTAAATTGAATTGAATTTGTAACTTCTTCAATAGTTATGTTTTTAGAGCCTGGACAAGGGTCAGAATTCAACCACCATTTCCATGATGTTGAAAATAGTACAAGATCTCGTTAAATGTAATGATGAGGTTGGTCCAATTTGTTTGTGACATGCGAAATCCGTGCCTGCATGTTTGCATGTAGCTGTCTTTTTATCAATTGATCAGTCTATCTGTTTTTAGAGAAATAGAATAGTTATCAGTCAAATAACCATCTTTCTAACTAGAAGTAAAGATCCCAATCTTGCGTTGTAGAAGTCGTACGCGGTTTGTGAGAAGCAATGGAGAAGCATGAATATGAGCGAGAATATCTTTTATGTTCTAAATAAGCTCGACATTAGAATGCCAGTTTGTACCTTTTCGCAAAGGGTGATTACAATTCCAGAAATGCGGTCGACCGCTCAGCTCGTGCAAAGATGTACTGTTTCATCGTTTCCACGGTCTGCAACATAAATTTGTCTGTATGGAGTGCTTCAGCACCAAGGAGTTTATCCGAACAGAGCAGGAGATGATTGAACATTTTGTTTCGAAACACGGTCAAAGAAATCGTAAGTATACCCGTAATTTCGTTTCTTAATCTCTTCTGGAATGTCATCTCCAAGGGTAACA